GGAGGGTCTCTGTGAGTTTGAGGCCAGCCTGGTCTCCAAAGTGAGTTCCAGGAAAGGCACAAAGCTACACAGAGAAACCCTGTCTCGAAAAACCAAAATAAATAAATAAATAAATAACTACTCTGTTATTTTCGCTGTGCAACCCAGTTTTCGTGGTGCCTTTTTACATTGGCTATTTTATCGTTAGCAACATCCAGCTTTTGCATAAATAGATTGCCTGTTCCCAGGCTCTTGTGGCTGACCTTTATGTCAGAACAGCCCATTGCTATGTATGTGTGGTCGGGGTGACTCTCAAGACTCTGCTGACTGTCCACAAGTTCCCACGTCCTCCTTCCTCTGTGACTGCTTGGAGCCATGGATATAACCACAAGCAAAGAGAAAAGGGTGGCAGAGAATGGGGAACCATTGTTCCAGAAGGGGCAGGTGTGCACGACAGACTGGGGTGTGGAGACGGACACTAAAGCCTGTGACTCTTCAGACCAGGAAGTGAAAGTTTGATTAAAACAAAACAGGAAGTAAATACTCAATAGGAAGTAAAGGTTGCCTCCTCTTCTTCTTCTCCTCTTCCCTCTGTTTTTCTTTCTTTCTTTCTTTCTTTTTCTTTTTTTAGACAGAGAAGACCTCACCATACAGCCCTGGCTGGCCTGAAACTAACTATGTAGAAAAGGCTAGCCTTGACAAATTTGACAGAGACTGCCTGCCTCCACCCAGTCCTTGGATTAAAGGCATGTGTCACTATGGCCAGCTCGAATGGAGACTTTGAAAAAACTAAGCAGGCAGCTCCTTCTAGAAACAGCAGATCTGTCTACCACTAAGGAAAGAACTGAATACCATAAGATTTTCAAGGTCAAATGCTCTAAATTCCTAAGTTAGTTTTCTCCATCTATTGTAGTGATTCTCGACCTGTGGGTCATGACCCCTTGGCATGGAACAACCTTTTCACAGGGGTCGCATATCAGATATTTACAATTCATAACAGTAGCAAAATTACAGTTATGAGGTAGCAATGAAATAATTGTATGGTCGGGGGTCACCACACGAAGCACTGTATTAAAAGGTTAAAGCATTAGGAAGGTTGAGAACGACTGATCTACAGTATTTGGAACTTTTTCTTGGCAACCATCAATCTTTTTGTTGTTGTTGTTTTGTTTGTTTGTTTTTTGTTTTTCGAGACAGGGTTTCTCTATGTAGTTTTGGTGCCTGTCCTGGATCTCACTCTGTAGACCAGGCTGGCCTTGAACTCACAGAGATCCACCTGGCTCTGCCTCCCAAGTTCTGGGGTCAAAGGCGTGCGCCACCGCCGCCGCCGCCACCACCACCACCCGTCTCCATGATTTCTTATGACAGCTCTAATCTCTACTGCTATTCATACCAAATTTGAAACTTTTTGTTTAATACGAGTCCTTGAAAGTGGTAACAAAAGCATCTATTTTAAAGCAATTACTGTTTCATCCAAGTGGTCATTTTTTAAATTTATTTTTATTTTATATGCATTGGTGTTTTGCCTGCATGTATGTCTGTGTGAGTGTGTCAGATCCTGGAGTTACAGTTGTGAGCTGCCATGTGGGTGCTGGGAATTGAACTCAGGTCCTCTGGAAAATCTGTCAGTGCTCTTAACTGCTGAGCCATCTCTCTAGCGCCCCAAGTGGTCATATCTTTATGACAATTTATTTTTTACAGTTTTGTTTAATGATCTCACATTTGAGCTGCTACCTAATCGAGTTCATCTGACTAAACTGGATGTAATGCACAGAACCAGTAACGAGGAGAGACAGCAGAGGCTGCCAGAGGTGAGGCACCCACAGGAGAGTCCCCTAATACTGGGCTCAGCCTGCCCCCATGTTAGCATCGGGATGGATACCCAACCTTCAGAGAAATACAACAGCTGCCTAGCTCAGTGTGACATCATCTCAGCCTCGAGTCTGTCTTGGATTTCTCTTCTCCATGGTGTACAGCACTTAGAGCTAAGTGTTTCTCAATACAGCTAAAAACTGAGGAGCAAAGTCTAAGAGCACAGAAAGAGGAGAGAGTGAATGTCCTTCTAGCTGTACCCCTCCTGGTCCCACACCAGCTGCTGTGTGTTGAGCCTATGCCTAGAAGGTAGCCGGGGTGTGCCTAAGTGGAGTCTCCTCTCCCAAGGGCTTCTGGAGTTAGACAGGAAGGTGCTGGAGAGCCCACAGCTACTGCCATGCTCCTTGCAGTTCTAACATGCTTCACGTGAGCCTTGGCTAACTAGTCTCATGTCAATCATAAGTCATTGACCTTCCTCAAAACTGAAGCCAGAGGACAGGAAAGATGGCTCAGTGGTTGTAGCTGCCAAGCTTGACAACCTGAGTTCATTCCCTGGGACATACTTGGTGGAAGAGACAATTACGTTGTCCTCTGATCTCTACATGCCCACCGTGCATGGCACCCACCCGTAACACACACACACACACACACACACACACACACACACACACACACACACAACTAAAATGTTCTAAGTTTGTTTGCTTTTAACAAAAACCTGGGTCTAGGTGTGGTACATATCTTTAATTCTAATACTTTGGAGGCAGAGGCAGGTGGATTTCAAAGTCTGAGGCTAGCCTGGTCTACATTGAGTTTCAGTCCAGCCAGGGACTGAAACATACATAGTGTGTGGGAGCCCACGAAGGTTTCCTATTGAGATCTGAGCTTGCTTTACACAGTAGGGCTGCTTTAGGGGATGACTTGACCACATGCTTGGTCACCAGGTGTCTAGAATGGTCTGCATTTGGCTGTGCTGGGGGGGGGGGGGAGAGGTCTTTTGCTCCACCCCTAGGCATTCCTTTAAATAGCTCTTTAGAAGAGACAGAAGGGGCTGGTGGGTTTGGACCCTGGCACTCCCGAAGCTGTCCTGTGTTTCTTTCTGTCTGTCTCTCTCCTCTATATTTCTATCTACATATTCTCATTTCTCCCTGCTCAAGAGTAGTACCCTGGGGGAATAAGAGGGAGCAGATCCCCCTCAATAGTGAAACCCTGTATCAAAATAAAATAAAATAAAATAAAATAAAATAAAATAAAATAAAATTTTGCTGGGTATGGTGGCTCATACCTTTAATCCCAGCACTTGAGAGGCAGAGACACTCAGATCCCTGAGTTCTAGGTCAACCTGGTCTACACAGTGAGTTACAGTGAGTTCCAGGCAGTCAGGACTACACAGAGAAACCATGTCAAAGAAAAAAAAAAAACCCAAATAAATGAAATTTAACATATAATTTAAAATTAAAGCCTGGTGCTACTTGTGGTATACACACATGTAACCCCAGCCCTGGGAAAGCTAAGACCAGAGGGCTGAGATTTCAAGGCCAGTCTGAGCCACATAGAGATTCTTATGCAAAAACAAAGTTTCTGCAGCCAGTCTACGCAGGCTGCTCTGACTTCCTGTGTCGCTGCTGACTCTGGGACTCGTCCACCTCATGTCCCCCTACTCTTGTGTCTTAGATAGGGAGCAGGGGACATCACGTGAGGGGCAATGACTTTTCTTACGGATATGACTAGGGCTGGGGTATTTGGGGGTTCTCTCTTTTTATTCTACAGCTTAATTGCCACACAATTTATAGAAAGTCGGGCATACAAGGTGGCACACGCTTGGCTCACACTGGACAGTCCAGGAGGGAGAGACGGAAAACCAGGAAGAGAGAGACCCCATCTAACTTGTCAGCCCCATTCCTTATCTGCGCCCTGGAGAACAGGATGTTCAGGCGAGCACAGTTCTGAGCCAGCAGGGGAGGCCCACTGTGTGCTTCCTAAACAAGGCTGAAAGGGGTTTTGTGACATGGAAGATGGACGCCACCCTCTGTGCCTGCAGCCAGGGGCCGACCCAGCAGCTCTGTGGACACGGTTAGTCTCTTGTCAGTGTACTTGGGGCAGTATCAAGCTCAGCAGGTGACAGGATTATTGTACGGACAAAGAACTGGAAATACTAACAATGGGTTTTATTTTTTATTTTTCTCTATTAATCAAAAAACACAAATCACTGCTTGTCGCGAGTGTGGGAGAACAGGACTACGTTTACCACTGTCTTTGGCACGTCTTTACTTCTATACACATGTACATAAATGTTCATATATATGAGCATACAAGTGTGTGTGTGCCTTTGTGTGAGTGTATATGTGAGTGCATGTGTTCACATGTGCATTGTGCGCACGTGCAAGTGCCCCTGTGTGTGTATACTTGCATGTTTGTGTGAGAATATATGTGAACTGTATGTTCATGCATGCATTTCTGTACATGAGCATGCTTTTTGAGTACAGGTATTAGTGTGTGCACACACATACATGTGATCATGCTGGTGTGCACCTTCAGAAACAGGTGCTGATCCATGTGCTCTTGTTTTCTTTTGTTGAGGCGCCCTCTTGTGACCACTTAAAATGTTGCATCCTGAAACAACTGGGCAGAGGTTTTTGGGAGTTTTTTTGTTTGTTTGTTTGTTTGTTTTGTTTGTTTTTTCGAGACAGAGTTTCTCTATGTAGCTTTGCGCCTTTCCTGGAACTCACTTGGTAGCCCAGGCTTGTTTTTTTTTTTTTATTTATTTTTTTTATTTTTTTATTTTTTTCTCTCTGAGAAGTACTTAGATTCTTGGTAAGACTTATGAGACTTTCTCACAAAATATTTTATTTGTGCCTGGATATCAGGTTTGGAGGTTAAGAGCTACTGTCTTATCACAGACCTCAGCACACATGTTAGTAAGCACTCCATCACACACACACACACACACACACACACACACACACACACACACACACACACACTTTTAAAAAACAAAGCAAGTTTGAGGCCAGCCCGAGCAACACAAAACCCCATCTGAAGAAGGATCCATCCAGGGCTAGAGACGGTGAGATGGCTCAGCAGTTAGAGACCCTTTCCACACAGCCTGAGGACCTGAGTGATCCCCAGACCGCCCGTGAAGGTAGTCACTCTGCCTTCACATGTGCACTGTGGCATGAGTGTGCCCCATAAACACATCACGCACAATATTAAATAACCAATGTTTTTATGTAGTGACCTTAGGAACGAGGACACAGAAGACGCGTGCTCCGCCCAGCTTCCAATGGACAGCAGCATGCCCAGCGCACCCGGTCCGTGCCTTGTGTCTTAGGCTGCAGTGACAACTGGCCCCACACTTGGAGGTTACACCTATTCTCTCCAAGTTTTCACTCTAGTGGCAGGTCTCAGGTTTCAGGTGACCTGCCTGGTTCCTGCCACACACTCACATTCTGCTGCTCTCTTCACAAAGCTATCTGTGTTTGTCTCAAACCCCACCCCACCCGTCACCTAGCAACCTAGCACTGACCCCAGTGTCCACCCCAAAGCAAACAAAGGCGTGTCTAGACCTTTAACTGTCTGCAAAGACTGAGCTCCCCTTAAGGTCACATCCAGGGGCCCCAGGGTGTGCGGTTTCTCAAGAGCCATTTTTAATCTGCAAAAACCAGAACATCTCAGGGAGTGGCAGAGATGGAGAGCAGCCATCATAAACGACAGTACTCATGAATACACGGTACTCTCTGAGTGTCAGGCTGCAGGGCTCCATGACACAACAATGGCATTATGTCCAGGTCCCGCCTGCCCTTATCTGGTGAGTTCCTTCCCTAAATGATGGTCTTGTTCTCCTGGCTCCATCCTATTTCCCAAGTCTGTGGGGCCTGACCGTCAGGTGGGAAGCAGACAGCAGCAAACAGGATGCTGGAGCAGGCTGCCCTGGTCCAGCTCCCAGCTCCAGGGATCCTAAAGGCTCAGGGATGCAGGACAGAGAAGGAAACCTCTCAGGGAGGCCCATGCTGCAGAGCCAGCCATGCCTTCCTCAGTCAGGGGGCTGATAGGGAGGACCCAGGCGCTGTGGCCTGGTGATCCAGCCTGCTGCAGACCCCCACACAGTATCGTCTCCTGGAAGGAAGTCACAGGCTCTAGCCATCCCCGAAGAGGTCATTCCAGGATCCGCAGCCCCCAACAGGGCACCTGCAGGTTCTGGAACATAGCTGTGACTGGACTCTATGGACAGACCCTAGTTAAGGCAATTATAGACTGTGTCTGGGCTGGAAGAACTAGCTAGGTTGTGTTCCAGGCTGCCTGCTGCCCACCCAGTGTGAATGGTGCCACAAACAGGTCAGGGCTGGGATATACTGGGGATGAAACTAGGCCCCACGCCTGTCCATGGACCCAGGGATCTGTCATCTTGGAGCGTACGTCTTCTCTAACAATTGCCTCCAGTGTCCCTAAACAGGAGGCTCCCTAGACAATGGCTACACAGCCCCGGCCTTAATACCCAGTCAACAACCAGGGACGAAGCTAAAGAGCTCCACAACCCACACCCACGAGCTAAAGGCCCTGTGCATGGACTGGGATGGGAGGGCCTCCCTGGACCTGGCCATCCTGGGGTACTCACGGGCAAGCCGGCCTCATACAGCCAGCTCAAACCAGTTGAAAAGCCAGGATGGCATTTTAGCCCATCTGCCTAAACGTACAGAGCTGAGCACCAATGCCATAAATCAAAGCCACTTTCTCGGTATCAGAAAGACTCATTGTCCCATGCCACCAATGCCACCCGGTGTCACCGCACAAAGACTACTCCACCAGAAAGACATTTCTTATGTCATACAAACCAAATCCTGCTTGTCTACTACAAATACACATTGGGGAGAGAGCAAAGGCCCATGACAAAAGGGTGAGGATGAAGACGGACACACTGGCCACTCCAAGGCCCAGAAGCATGGCTGTCCATCTGGAGGCCCCTCACCAGTCGAGGAACCTGCAAGAGGCTGGGGAAGCATGAGTCTGGCTCCAGACGAGCAGAATGTGTAGTGAGCATGGTACTGAGCCAGCTGACAGGAAAAGTAGGTAGTTCAGGCTTATACTCCGTCCTGGGCTGGACTGCTGTGCCCCAGAGTCTGCTAGTTGAAGTTCTATCCCCAGAATGTGACTATCAGGGGAGAAAAAAAAAAAAACGGTACTTAAGGTCAAGGTCAGGACAGACAAAGCAGAGGGACATTGGGAAAAGATTCTATCTCCAAGGAGAGAAGCCTCAGGAGGAACCAGCCCTGGCCCTGGACTCATCCTCCTGCACCGTAAGTTTCTGATCTGAACCCCACTACAATGGCCACACAATATATGCTCTCTGCTTTCCAAGAAAGATCCACGGTCTGCGGTCTGGGCAGGGGCAGCCCTGATCTGGCAGGTAGAGAAAACAAGTCCAGCAGCTGGACAGCAGTCTCATCCCGTCCGCACCCTGCAGACACCACCCAATCTACCACTTAAGGCCCCCACGCAGGAGATGCCAGAGTCCCAGGAGTGGCTGAGCATCTTAAGGTGTGCACGTGGTATCCCTACAACATGCATGGAAATAGGCTGCCCCCTCAGCCCACCTCGAGTCCGGCCTGTCCTCTTAACTACAGGAGCTGTACACACGGGGCAGTGGGAAATGCGGCCCTTGCTATGATCCTCTCCGCCTTTTTCCAAGTTCATGCTGCAGAAACCACTCTTCTATCTGCCTTAGAAGATCTGGGCTTAACCTCTTCCTC